TAATTTATGCCCTAAAAAGTCGATTGTTTGCATTTATGTCCTGCTTTTACCATTTTCTACATTTCCACTCCCAATGATGACAGAATAGGTGATATTCTCTGTAGTCCTGGCTGAGGAAATTTTGCTAGCATTCACTTTGGCAACTGTAAACGTACACTTAATATTCACACCATTGGTGCTATTTCCAGTAACTGTTGTTTCCTGTAAAAATTGAAATCACTCATAAATGCCACAGTACTGCTTAAACAGGTAGTAAATTAATTTTGAGACATAGTTGAGCTGAATGAACCAGGCTTAGAAATATTATTTTTAATATTTAATATTTGTTGTTTTAATTTCTCGATTTCCATGGATTGCTCATTGTCAGTTTTAAAACTGGTCAGTATGTGGTGATTCTCCAGATCTTTGGGAATGCGACAGTTAAAGTAAGCCAAGTTCCTTACCATCGGTTCTTCTTCCTCTGTTGTGGAAGTTTGATTAGCAATGCTTGATCTGAAGAAAAAAGACCCACTGTTCTTACCACAGGAGAAAAAATTGAGAAGCTGTAGAGAGAAGCAAAGGCTAAAAGTTAAATTCGAACTCAGAGCCATGAAACATGGCAAATGTCCAAGTCTCTCTCTCTATTAAAGCTTGGTATTGGTAAACAAAGCAATTCAGTGCATCTATATAGAGCCAATTCACAACACACATCATATCAAGGCATTTTAAAGAGACAATTCAACCAGATCATACAGTTAGATTGGTTAAAACCTTTCTGTCTGAGGAAAACCAGCTGTTGGTTCCAGCCATTGACTTGAAGGATTCAATCTTTTTGATCAACATCTGGCGATATTCATAGAGATTCACTTGCATTGGGTCATTGACTCTACAACAATCACACTGCAATCCTCCATTTAGCAAACTTAACAGGATCTATGCTTGGACATTCCCAAATTGAATCACGTTTCTTTAAAACATATAGAAATATTGGGGATTTAGTGATTGTTCTATATTCTTTATTTTTTTGGTGTCAGTGTTTCAATTCTGGTTCTGAAGGCACACTGCCTTGCATGTCTTAGATTTTTCCCAGCTTTCAAAACAACTTATATCAATTGAACATATTAACAGGTATTGCTGAATTGCAATCATCTGAATCAAGTGTTGAAGCAGGGAAACATCTAGAATATGCAGGGCACTGTGCCTTGAGGACCAGAACTGAAAACCACTGCATTAGAATATCATTAGTTACTTTTCTGTATCAAGGGTTATAACCCAAATAATACCTAGTATCCATCCATCCATCCATTTCCCATCACACTTATCCGTGCTGGGGTTGCGAGGGGTGCTGGTGCCTATCTCCAGCTGTCTATGGGCGAGAGGCGGGGTACATGCTGGATAGGTCGCCAGTCCATTGCAGGGCAACACAGAGACAAACAGGACAAACAACAATTCACGCACACCTAAGGAGAATTTAGGAAGCCATTTAACCTAACAGTCATGTTTTTCGACTGTGGGAGGAAGCTGGAGTACCCGGAGAGAAGCCGTGCATGCACAGGGAGATCATGCAAACTCCATGCAGAAAGACCCCGAGGCTGGGAATAACTAGTAGCAAAAAATAATTCAGAACTACTGTATATAATTCTACATATATAGCTATATCTTCAAATGTTATTAATTATACATCATGTAGCCTTCTAGTAGTAATTTTAAATCAATTAAGATTTATGACTTTCTTTAATCAGTTGCATAAATCCAGGCTAAAATAATTACTGCTTAGTTAATATGACACCCAATAAACACAGTTACCGTATTTTCACGACCATAAGGCGCACCGTACTAAAAGGCACAGTCTCAGTTATG